GAAATTGGACTGATGTTGAAAATGAGCAGCTTAACTTTAAGAAACATTTGGTTGAAAACCTTGTCTTTGATCTTTTAAAGCGGTGGGTTCAGACATGGACTATTCCAAGAGAAAATAGGATGGTTTTTCCAACTGGAGTTGTAGATGTTTGAAACTGGGTAGGTCTGTTGTGCACAAAATTTACATATTCAGAGTTAAGGCTGCATTAGTTAAAAGTATGACCTTTACCACAATATACACATTGGACAAAAAAGGCTTCAAAAACAACTGTAGTAGCAATAGGGACATCCAAGTTTTTCAACAAGCTAGTCATGGTTGTTAATGGTGTTGTAAGAGCAGTATAGGGATCTATTTCATGAATGCATGATGTCTCTCTAGGTACTATTGCTCTAAGATCTGGCCAATGACAATTGTTGTTAGAATTTTTCTCCAAAATATCAAAAACATAATTATAGGTATATTAACATCTAACATTTGTTTAGCAGTGGTGTCAAGACCATTGTAAAATGTTTCCAGCTGAATGCAATAGGGTATGCCATGATGTGGGCATTTCCTTAGTAATTTCTTGTACCTCTCCCAAGCATCAGGAACTGCTTCATCATCCATTTGTCTAAAGAGAAATTTTATTTCTAAACTTGGTACTCCTAGTTGGGGGAAAATATTTATTTAAATACTTCTCAGTTATCTCATTCCATGTTGTGACTGAGTTTGGTTGCAAAGAGTTGTACCATACTTTGGCTCTTTCTCCTAATGAAAAAGGACATAACTTCAGCCTTTAAGGCTTCATTAGAAATTCCATTAAGACGGAAAGAGTCAGTGACTTCTATAAAAGATATAAGATGCAAATGAGGATCCTCATATGATAATCTTGCATATTGACTATTTGTTTGTAACATATGAAATGGGCTTAAATTCAAAGTGGTCACCATCAATAGTGGGACTACGTATTCCAAGGTGTAATTAATTTAACATTGGAATAGTATAGTCCATGATGCCACCAGTCCTTGAATTTGCAAGCCTAATAACCTCCTCCTCAGGATTGGTATTGAATCAGGTCCGACTTGAGCTATTTCAGGTGTAGCTAGAATAGGCAACAAATTTCTTTGTTCCATTCTTCTCCTTCTAAAGGTTCTTTCAATTCCGGATCTAACTCAAAAAATAGTCCCATGAGGTATCCTTGGCATAGACCACTAATAATAAACACTTGATGGTAGAAAAATCAAATTTTAAAGTAATTTAATTAAAAACTCTTTTTGGCTAAAAAAATCCCGGACAACGGTGCCAAAAACTTGGTGTGTGTGGATCTATACTCTCAAAAGGCTATAATAACGAGTAAATCACGCAAGAATACATGGCATACAAGTATCGTCCAAAGCAAGTAATAATGGTAAGTGATACCAAATATCGTTCCACAGAGATGTAATATGCAAAGAGAGTCACAAAAGTTAACTTTAAAGTGAGATTTTAGAAAAGAGTTTTTGGAAGAAATAAAGCTTCAGAGAGAAAATATATTTGCGAGAGTTAGTAACTAAACACTGAAATGAAACAATAATTAAAAAATAGTATGGATGAAAGATCAGGTTGGATTTCAACAACGAAGTGTAATGAATATTGCTCTATAAATAGCTCTTTACAACACTATTAGATTGAATGACCTTTCAAAGAAGTGCATATTAGACTATATGTTGGAAGTGCACTTGGTGATGCATCAATTCCAAGCTAGTATAGATCTTGTCTTTCTTTCCATATAGTTTTGTAACCCATAAGATTACGGTGACTCTTTATAGCCTCTATAACACAATTAGTAAAAATATTTGCGTTGTCTTAATTCTAAGTCCAGCTTATCTGAATAAAATAACAAGTGTTAGTTTGTCAAAGATTACCAGATGAAATATTAATACCACTTGTAAATAGCGAAATAAATTGTTATTGACAAGCATATCAATTAACACTTAGCGTAATATCACAACCTTCATTTACACCCATACGAAGATGTTTAGTCTAGCATGACTGAATGTAAGTGCTTAAAAATAAATGACATAAATAGAAATGACTGAATGTAAATGACGTAAAAGTAAATTATGCACGAAAAGTAAAGAGAAAGTTGGAAAGGTTGCTGTATCAACTGACAGTGACGAAGAACACTTAAAAGTACTTGCAAAATGATATAAAAAGGTAACAAGGACCCAAAGCTTAGATGAAACTTTGTTCCTGATGACAAAGTGAAATTGTTCAAAGTGTTACAATTGTTCAAAAGATTACCTCCATATATATACTAGCACGAGGGAATCAAAAGTACTAGTGGATAATATCTATTGGTTATTAACCAGTAGGTAAAAGAAAAGATGCCTTAGCATACAGGATGCTTTAGTACAAAAGGTTAAGGTATCTTTGCAATGACATCTTCCATCAAAATCATCTGCTATCAGTACTAGAAGATGTCTTTCTTCAAAACTTGACTTTTCAAATTATTCAACGGGATTTAGCCAACTATGCCAATATCCAGTGTCTAGTGCTGCAGCAACATATACACCTGCTACAACAATGCTTATGTCAGCATTTGTTTCACCAAATACATAAAACAGTACCATCCCCGCATCCTAGCTCCAATGAATGTGAAACCATAAAATAAGACTAAAAGACTCAATATAGGATTGGGAAAGGTGTAAAATGAAGTGAAATAAAGTTATAATTAGGTGCTAAAGTGTATGCTTTTACATACTTATCAGCTTGCAAGAAGCATTCACTACATTCATCACCAAGGCAAACATATCAAAAAAGTTTTTAACACGGTCATGTTTGTGTACAACCTCCACAACTACCAACTAAAGTTGGTGAACAAAACAATGAGTATAATATGCCGATCTATTATCATTTGAGACCCAGAGCTTTCAACCCATTGAACTTACCACACATATTGCTTGTTCCATCATAACCTTGACATAGAGGCGAATCTTGGAGTTTGTTCTTTTTTTGGATACATCACTAGATTCATCAACTAACACTGTAAATACATCACCTCCAATTTATTTCATAATGGAATTCAGTATTTCTTTTGCAAAGCAATTGATAATCTCTTTTTTAAATACTTGGAGCCGTCATTTGATTTTTCTTTGGAGCATTTTCTAAAGTAAGCTTATGAATCATCTCATTCGTATTTGCAAGAAAGTTTAACAAGCCCAAAGAAGGTCCTTGATTTGTAGATGTCTACGACTCATCGTGCCCACAAAATGGTAATCCATATGACAACAAGAATCTAGCACAATCGATTGAAGCATTCAATAGAATGCGATATTCATTCTTGGCAAGTTCACTTTGCTTGTGAATGGTAACAACAACAGATTGCTTTTGATTTACCAAATATTTACATTTCTGTTGTGTTTTGTTGTAGAAACTATTGACATCACCCTCATGAATGTTAAGTCTGCCTCTGTTAAATCCTTCTGTCACAAATGTATCACCACCACCACGCCTTGTTCTTTAAATAAGTAACAATATAGACAATAAACTTTGTCCACTTTCACACTATACTTTAACCATCAAAATTCATCAAAACAATGAGGAACAAAACGTCTTAACTTGTCTCCTATCGAAGTTGTTGGAAACTCATGATCAATAAGAAATAAAACGTCTTAACTAAATGTATAAAAAATTACGTAAGATATAAATTAAAATATACCATAAACCCTAAAAATAGTAGATTAGTTTTTAGTATAAATGTAGAACAAAAGAATATTGGAATAATAGATGGAGGAGGAGGAGAAGAGAAAAAAAAAAAAAAGAAGCCTCCATTAGAGACGTAAGTTTCATGTTTGTTTTTTTTTTGCTTTGACTTTTCAAACATTAAGTTCCAATATCTACCCTCAAAGTTTCAATATTTATGGTTTCGTCTAGAAAAATCTATGGTTTCACATTTTAGCACCTGATGTAACCGACCCTTAACAAAAGAAAAAAAAAACTTGGTTGCATGGCTGTACATTCGCCTTTGTCTGCTGTCTAGCTATTCAATTTTAAAATCCTTGATCAAGCAAAAACATCAACAACTAATTGATTTCCCATTTAAAATCACAAAAAAAAACATGAAATAAAATTGTGGTTTGGGGTTCACGACTTTAGAATCAAGATGCTTCGATTAGCATTGCTCACGGATAAATTACTAGTTTTGTATAAAATCTAAAAAAATTATCATCAAAATGACTATTTTAAGAAAATGTTTGGAATTGCTTATTTAAAACAACTTATGTTTTTTCTATAGAAGTGTTAATCAACTTATGTAGTGGCAAACCGGAATTTTATAAAAAAAATGTTCGGATTAGCTTATGTCGGTACAACAACGGCTAAGCTGATAAAATAGCATATCATTTTTTTCCATCCAAACACTAAAAACTTCTTGTTACCAGCACAATACCAAAATAAGTTGATAAGTTAGAAGGAAGTAAATTATCAAAAACTTCTTAGCCGTAATGTCATAAGCTAATCCAAACATTTTTTTTATAAAACTCCAGTTTACCACTATATAAGTTGATAAACACTTTTACAAAACACTTTTACAAAAAACACATAAGTTATTTTAAATAAGCAATTTCAAACGCCCCCTTATTACCAATGCCAAAATTGTATAAGTATTTTCTATTTTCTCCATCAAAACACTAAAAACTTCTTATTATCGATACCACACAAAAATATATTAATAAACAAATAAATAAATAATCCCGAACACCACCTAAATCTTATCCCAATTTAAATGGAAAGGTAAAAATACCAATTAAATTCAGAAGTTGATCAATTAAGAAGTTAAATAAATAGAAGTTGGATCAAAAACGGTGTAAATTCAAAAGGAATAAAACTGCCTGCAACAGAAGCCCCCTCCAAATTTGATAGATATTGGTTGATTCAACGCGGTGGCCGGAAAATTCTCTCGAAAACTCGGTGTAAGAACGTGTATGTGGCAGGTTATGGCGGCGAGAAAATAGCAATTTGATTCAGTTACCAGGATCGGGATTTGATGGGAATTTGGAGTAGCTTCAGAACGGTGATTAAAAGTATATGCACATGTGGAAGAGGTAATTTTGTCGTTGTATCATCATCCTATCGTTGCGCATCAGAGAGTTGCAGCATTTTGTATAGACCATAAAATTCTGTTTGAGTAGATATTGTTGCGATCATGAAAGTTACCATCAGATTTGGCGATTCTTATTATATGTTTTTTCATGCTACGGAAGATTTAGGGTTTAGAAGCATGAGGAGACCAAGAAAGAAAAATATTTGGTATTCAGTGGTCCCCTTTTGTGTGATGCTATACAACTTTGAAAGCAGTCTACAATTTTAAAAGCCCACAATATCTTTCACTCGCTGGTGAATTTCGTAAACCTCTTTTGATACCTTAAATTTCAAGTTTGCTGCAGAGGCAGTCAGTCTAAAAAGGGAGATGGCTTTTCTCCCGTAGTAGCTTCACGTCCTCCCTTTCTTTTGTATGGTACTACTGCAGAATTTAGAAGGAAATTTTAATAATGGTAATAATATTTTTATTGAAAAACAATACAGTATAGTTCATGCATCCTTACAACAATAAGTGTGTGATAAAAAATTCTCTCCCCACTCACAGTTATGCCAAACAGGTGAACAGGTGGACTATGATGGCTTGTCTGCAGAGACTAGGCTTCCGAAAACACTATTTAATCTGCGAGATTCCGTGCATGCCATCTTAGATCACGCCATTTTTGTTATATTAATATAGTATGCTTGTTACTATTCAAAAGAGGACTGCTGAAAAAGGCTGTCCATTTTAGCATTTTGGATAAATATATTATAACCATCAAGGTGATGCCATTTATTTAGAGTTCTACCAGATTTTAACTACCTCATGAAGTGGCTAGCATCAACACTTCTGGTGATGCTATTATAAAGATAGAAGTCATCAAGAATATTTTTCCCTAGATCAAGAAAACCCCACTATCCTAAGCATATCAAAAAACATATCCCTGCAATTCATACTTTGAATTTTGATAAAACTTATTGGTAGAGAATGTGTTGGCTTCTATAAGCAAATGCATGCTCAGACAGTTTGTTGTTGCTCATCCCAGGGGATCATCACGAGGGACTTGGACCAATATCATCTATGGGTGTGCGATTGCGGATTCAAGATCACCATGTAACTTCCTCTGGTTTTTCTTGTGGTATTATTGGTTATTCAGCCTAAAGGTGTCATTCAAATATCAGGATCAATATTAGTTGGTTAATTATTGTTTTTTCCATGTTTTGGGTTCCCTCCAAGATTAATGAAGAGTAAGGTCAACATACCTAAAAATAATTGTGTTGAGCTACATATAAATATAGACTCATGAACAGCATACTCTTTATTTGTTATCATCTGTATTCAGGTGGTGATGGATAATGGCATACTGCAAGTGACGCTATCGAATCCAGAGGGCCTTGTCACTGGGGTACGATATAATGGCCTTGACAATGTTCTCGAGGTTCTTAATCATGAAGGTAATAGAGGGTAAGTTGCAATCTTAACCAATATATTATGCTTAAAATTGTAATAGCTTCAAGCTATCAATACATTGAAATTAGTTTGGAAAAATAAATTCAATAATGCAGGTATTGGGATGTGGTGTGGAGTGCTCTAGGTGAATCAGGAAGGAAAGGAGTATTTGAAGTGTGAGTTCTCAAACTCATGATATTAATATTCAGATAGAAGAGGCAGGGAAAAGAAAAAGAGAGAGAAATGAATGAATGAATGATGTGATCTATCCTATGTAGAAGCTAGATTTTGAGTCTATAATGATCTATCCTTGCAGGATCAAAGCAACAAGCTTTAAGGTAATAGTGGAAACAGAGGACCAAGTGGAGGTGTCTTTTTCAAGACCATGGGATCCTTCCCTACAGGACAAACTTGCTCCTATAAACATAGACAAGAGGTTCTTTATTGTCCTCTATGATGCTCTAGTTAATGCAAGTAACTGTTTGTACAGATTTAGTAGCGTAATTTTTATTCTGGTGATTCTTTTAGGTTTGTTTTGCTTCGTGGTTCCTCTGGTTTCTACACCTACGCCATTTATGAACACGTGGGTTCTGAAGAATGGCAAGCTTTCAGTCTTGGTGAAACTCGAATAGCATTCAAACTCAGAAAAGACAAGTAAACTAAGTTCTATCAATCATGTATTAGCTGATCACATGAAGATTTATGTTCAGATCAAATGAGAACTTGAGAAGTGCTCTTGGATTATGAGCTGAGTTGTACGTTTGGGCTTTGGATAGGTTTCACTACATGGCGGTGGCAGATGATAGAAGAAGATACATGCCCCTTCCAGATGATCGATTAGCAGGAAGAGCCCAACCCCTTGCCTTTCAGGAAGCTGTTTCGCTTGTTAACCCAGTTGTGCCTGAGTTCAAAGGAGAAGTAGGTTAATTCTTCTGGCCAATTTGACAATAGTTTCTGTTATATTTTTTTTCTTTATCATGTTCTTTTGTTTCTATTTCAATTCAGACAGAGACCATTTGTGGTTATCAGTACTTATCCGGACGTGGGATGCACCTGGTCCTCTGGAACTTCAAGTTCATTTCTCCTTTTCCTTTTTGTGAACTAAGCGGGAAAGTTAACCAGCAGTGACCAAATAATCTTGTGAAGCAGTTAATTAGTTGTTGATGTTCTGACTGGTTCTACATCTGATACTTATGTAGGTGGATGACAAGTATCAATATACTTGTGAGAACAGAGACCTCATGGTACATGGGTGGATATCGAATGACCCTCCAGTTGGGTTTTGGCAAATTACACCCAGCAACGAGTTCCGGACGGGGGGGCCTCTCAAGCAGAACCTGTGTTCCCACGTGGGCCCCACTTGCCTAGCTGTAAGTAACTTCTACCATGTTGTCAGTGTTCACATACTCATAGTAATGGAGTTGTATGTGTATGTGTATGTGTGCTCAAACTCTTGTGACTTGTGTTAATTGAAAAATGATACAATGACCAGGTTTTTGTTGGTGCTCATTATGCTGGGGATGATTTAGTTCCAAAATTTGGACAGGGCGAGCCATGGAAAAAGGTCTTTGGGCCGGTTTTTATCTATCTAAATTCAGCAATGTGTGGACAAGATCCTCTTTCACTTTGGGATGATGCAAAAAGACAGGTTGAGTAAGGGGGGAGAAATAATTTAAGGAATATGTTTTTTTTTATCAATATGTATTACATTCAATATTAAAATTCAATTATACCAGATGATGGTCGAGGTCAAGAGTTGGCCTTATAGCTTTCCAGCATCTGAGGATTTCCCAAAATCACATCAGCGAGGAAATGTTAGAGGCAGATTACTTGTTCGGGACAGGTAACTCAGGTTTTAGACTCATGACCTGGTTTCTTTTATTGTTTCCTTTTGGCTCTCAGAAATAATATTATATCAAGATTAAAATTGTCCTTATTTCAGATATCTTCACAATGATGACATGCCAGCAAATGGTGCATATGTTGGGTTAGCTCCACCAGGAGATGTTGGATCATGGCAAAGAGAATGCAAGGTGATGCATAGACTAACCCCATTTTTCCCACACAAGCACATGTTGGTCAACACAGTAGCCATCTGTGTTAGCATTTGTGGAATCCCACACAATTGTGTCTCTCCTCTTGTAGGTCCATTCAGAGAGTCCTACTTGTTATGTGCTATATTCACTAATTAAACCATCTGTAAGCAGTTTATGTTGGTAATATATGTGAAGCTCTTTGGGAGAAATCGAATAAACGCATCACAAATTTAATTTCGAGTTCAATGTAGTCATTGAATGTTTTCAAACTCAGAAAATACATACACATCATATTATGTTGGAAGTTAGTTTGCTTGACCTCATAAGTCAACATTTACCTCCTCTCTTAAAGAATGTTTAGATTGCAATTGAATTATGTCAAGCAGGACTACCAGTTCTGGACTGAAGCAGATTGCATTGGAGATTTCTCCATTAACAATGTAAGAGCTGGAGAATATAATTTGTATGCTTGGGTCCCTGGATTTCTTGGAGACTACCGATACCATGTTCCCATTACCATCACTCCAGGTTTCAATCCAAATACAAAATCTGCATGTCTTTTTAACAGTTAGCTGAAACCCTTCATCTGAGTGATGATTTGTTTTAACTTCCAGGCTGTGATATTAACGTGGGCAATCTTGTTTATGAGCCCCCAAGAGATGGTCCTACATTGTGGGAAATAGGTATCCCAGATCGGTCTGCTGCAGAGTTCCATGTCCCGGAGCCTAACCCCAGATACCGGAATCAACTTTTTGTCAATAACCCTAAGAGGTTTGGTTTCCGCTTACCAATCTGCTAGATTCATAGTAACTTGATTAAGAATGTGTGCAACCATTGGGCCTCAAACCAAGGTCTTGGGAGAATTGGTTGTACTGTCAAAAAGATATTCAAGAAAGCTAGAAATCTTATAGGTAGTTCTCTTCTAATGTTATATTGCTTTCTATCAGCAACTTTAGGCAGTATGGCTTATGGGAAAGGTATGGAGAGTTGTACCCTTGTGGTGACCTGGTGTTCACTGTTGGAGAGAGTGATTATCGCAAAGATTGGTTCTATGCTCAAGTTCCAAGGTACAGGTCCAACTGCATTGGTTATGTAGCTTTCTAATGGGCAAAATGCAACAAAGTTTGACAGTGTAATTGGCATGTAGAAAGTTTCAAATTTTCTTATTTTGTACCCATTTTGACCGGTAACGTGTTAATGATGTAACAGTTGATGCCTGGTTGTCTATTTACATTGATTGAAAAATATCTAATGGTGGATCAACAGATTGCCGGTCAAAAATATATATTGATCGACAACTTTGCACCTATTGCATCAAATGTTACAAGATCAATCAGTTACATTTCAAAATCAGTATGAATTAGAATATTTTGACACTTTATTAAATTGATTCAGAAAAGATATTATTTGTTACACTAGATAGAAAATAAGGCAAATTTCTTTGCATCTTACGGTAATCATTACAAAATATTATGGGTTTGATTTTGTTTCACAAAATTCCTCTCTGTCATTGTGGAAGGGTATTTAGATCTTTGTAGAACATTTTAATTAAACTATCTGTATCTGGCTGGAAGTTAAGTATAGATTTGCAGGAGAAAAGAAGACAATTCATATGAAGGAACCACATGGCAAATAAAGTTCCAACTCGAGAATGTCCAGCGTGCTGCTATTTATAAGTTACGAATGGCACTAGCTGGTGCAACTCTTGCTGAAGTACAGGTATAAAGTAGAGTTTTTTCTTTGCATGTATGGTTTATCAATTCTCGAACAAAGTTCATTGTTCTCATGATTGAGTAGTATGTATGAGGAAACAGTAACACCGAAAAGAAATAGAATTATATATCATAGATTGGGTTTTTTTAGTAACAGAAGGTTTTGTTTGTAGGTTCGGGTAAATGATCCAAACAAAGCTCGCCCACTATTTACAACGGGATTGATAGGACGTGACAACGCAATTGCAAGACATGGGATTCACGGGTTATATTGGCTATACAACATAGACATTTCAGGGGGTTTGTTGGTCCAAGGAGAAAACACTATTTATCTGAAACAACCCAGGAACCAAAGCCCCTTTCAAGGTATCATGTATGATTATATACGCCTAGAAGCTCCTCCTCCTTAATTAATCAATCTCACAACTCATGTTTCTTCCATTTTTTTTAAATGCATTCAAGCAAGCAAATCAATAAATACATGTTATCTCTTTATTTGTCTATTTGTAAATGTGCTGCTATTCATAGATTAGTTGATGTGGTAATTTTGTCGACAAAATGAAGTTTCGTTTTCGACTTGCAAGTCATTTAGCAGTTTTGAACTAAGGTATGTAAAATGTTGATTATGAATTAGCCACCGCATCCTCAATGGATAATGACAAATCTATAAACATTGTTTGATGATTTTGGTGTAAACAATAAATCGTCTTTGACTAGTAACACCGAAAATGTAAGATTTTAGGTATGTTTTTTTTTATCTTCCGTAACTCGTGTAAAATTTAGTATTTATTACATTAGATTTGGTGTCTCCGTCAAAGAGATGTGTTACGGATAATTTATTACATGATATATGTAACATGTAAACTTGTAAAAAGTAAAAAAAACATAAATTAAAGAATAAATTTGTTATTACGAATTCTGATGCAAAGGGGAGAAAAACAAGGAAATCTGATCAAACATAGAGCAAAACCAACATCTGAATAATGACAAAGACAGAAGATGAATGACTTTTGAAGAACAACTTGTGGAGCGAAGACAAAGGAAAAAAGCAGCTAGAATAAATCAATAATCAGATCGTCTTCACCTTCAACCACCAAGATTTAGCTACGACTTTGTGTATTCACTTACTTTACAGTGGATTCGTTCTAATGATATGATGTGTTTACATATCTTCTTCTCACTTACTTTATAGTGGATTTGTTCTAATGATTTGATGTGTTTACCTATCTTCTCCTAGATACGATATTTTACTTGTAAAAGTCTTATGATTGTCTGTATTGATCCAAGAGCAAAATGTCTTCAACAAAATCGAAGACTAGTTGAAGTGAGACTAAGATCGTCACCAAAGCGGACTGGTTTGTCATCTAGCCAAAACGAAGATCAATACAAGATAAAGTCAACTAGTAGTTTGACAAATATTAGTATTGACAAGATGAATCTTGAAGGACAAACTTGGCGAGCAAGTTTACTTCACCAACTTTCTTACTCCCTTTTTTGGTATGAGAACATGTACAACATGTTAGCCAAATCAAATACAAAAGCACTATTAATTAGTGTCCTACTTAAAGTTTCCACGACATACATAAAAATGGGATAAGTTAACAAAGTGTCCACATCAAACTCAAAGGCTGAAATGAAGAGTTTCAGGATGCATGAATCAACTAATCAAAATAAGACACATTATAGTTGGACAATATGCATTTAACGCAATGGTGGTTATAAAATGTCACCATTGTCATTCAATGTAACTCACCCGTTTTCAAAGGACATCTTTGTGAGTGTTTTTTAAACAAAATGGCGTCATCCTCTGAATAACTTATTTAATTCTTCAGATCTTAAAGAGTATTTTCTCCCCCCCCCCCCCCAGTTTTAGCAAATTTATCACAGTCAAATTATTTAGGATCAAGGATTTACTTTCCTAACTTCCGCAACAAATCTATAATTCTGTGTTTTACACAANGTTGGACAATATGCATTTAACGCAATGGTGGTTATAAAATGTCACCATTGTCATTCAATGTAACTCACCCGTTTTCAAAGGACATCTTTGTGAGTTTTCTCAAACAAAATCGACGTCATCCTCTGAATAACTTTCTTAGTTCTTTGGATCTAAAAGAGAACTTCCTCCCCCCCCTCTTTCAGTTTTAGCAAATTTATCACAGTCAAATTATTTAGGATCAAGGATTTACTTTCCTAACTTCCGCAACAAATCTATAATTCTGTGTTTTACACAAAATATAGAATCTAGAATTAAAAAGTGAAAATATGTTGTGTTTGTATTCAACTCTCCCCACTTCTACAAACACTTTTTGTATAGGTCATCCCTTCCAGGACCACATATACCATCTGATAGTGAGGTTCTAAAAGCATATATAGCTTCTATGGGCCAACCGGAACTGGTAGGCTCATCCTAATAAGCACAACCCATAATTGAGAGAGATGAGAGGTCTATTCCAATAAGAAAGGGGGAACCAAATCTTGGAAATGCAGCTTTGACTCATAGTGCTAAGACGAAAAATGAAAATGAGAACTTGGGTAGTGGTGAGCATGGAATTGAAAATTGAGAGGGTGAGGGAATAGAGATAGAAGAACATGAGATCTCCATACTAGCCACAACTAGTCGGGCATCTACGTCTACTATTGATCCACACTCTTTGGTGGTCAATATTGAACAAAGCAGTGAGTTGATACAACCTTACCCATCCACTCAGTGGTTTTTCAACAAACCATTTTTTCATTTTCACATGGGGACTAAGCATATACACTATCTAGTTCTCAATTGGCGGACATGGTTATTGAAAGAGGAGGACAATTGCCCAGTCCCCAGACTTTATTCCTACACAGTCACACGAGGATCCAAACTTTGAGTCAAATTTGTTCATTCACACTAGCACATGTCTGAGTCACCTCAATGTGCATGTGAGTCATGCTGGAACAGCCATAGGTGCCTCATCATTGAACATGATAAGATTGGTTGGAAGCCCTGCTAGAGTCAATATTTCTACAGCTCTAAGTGCAGACCCACTTGTTTCAACAAGCGTGACAACAGGTGCATTTGTTGCATCTTGATTACCACTTATAATAGTTACTAAAGCTGAATTCAATAGCTTTGGTGACTATTGTAAAGCGCAGTTTGAGAAAAATTTGTGGTGAAATACAATCTCTGAAGATGATTAATCAGAGTTCTATCCGGGCCACTCAGAGCTCTGGATTACCTATCCAGACTTTAGCTCAGAGCTCGGATATGTCCATCAGGGATTTGTTCAAGGCTTTATCAGAGAATCTTGATACATGATCAGAGAATCATGAAAGAGATCTTGCAAAGGTATACTCAAAGCTTGAAAAATTGGAGAGTTAACACAGTGTGAACTCATCATAGCTGAAAGAAGTTAAAGAATCAATTACTCAACAACCTGCTCCTATAGAGCTTATACAATCATCTGATTTCAACAAAATTAAATCTGAAGTGTCAAGTTCACTCAGAGGTGATCTCTCAAGAAGTTGCAAAGCTTCCTAGGCAAGTAGCCAGTTCATCTTCAATCTATTTCATATCCAGGGCTAACAGCTGAACAGTTATCAAGTATGAATGATGTGATCACAAAGCTCAATGAGAACCTTGATATAGCAATAAAGGAAGTTGTCGAACCTACCTGTTCTTATAAATATATTGACAACACTAACACCTGTACCTATTGCAGCTTCAATTGAGCTTACAGGGGTGAATGTTAGAATTAATGAGCTTGTTGCTTCTATTGCTTCACTCAAGGAAGATCTTAGTAAGACATCACTCTGATACTTGCAAGATCCAATCTAGAACATACAAAAGAAGGTTTGCTGATCAGGACCCAGATCACCAAGAGGGGGAGGGTAAGAGACAGAACATTGAGAAAGAGAATGTTTAGAGAAAGGTGGGTCTAAGTCAGTGGTGGATTCTAGATCAGCTTAGTGATTATGGAAAGCATTGTGAATGGTAAGTGACCAGAGAAAGACCAGATGGTATATTCAGAGTTTTCCCAGACTAAAGAAAGATTACATGGGTGAAGCTAATTAAATAAGTGGAAAGCTTTCATTCAAAGAATTTTGTGGATACTACTTACATGGTGATCAAAGTGACTAGAGAAGATGCGGTGGAATGTTTGGTTACCAATGTTGTGATCAAATTTTTCTTTGTATGATTTCCAAACTGCAATTGAATATAGAATGAAGAAAACTAATTTTATTGTTCCAAATACAGAGATGTTAGGACATATGGTTGCTAAGAAAGAGTATGTGGATATGATTTTGTGTATTTGGCTCATAGTGGAAGTGAATTGAAGATGTTTAATCTCACAAATATACCAAAGTATTCCAACTCAACCTTGAAATGGATCTATGAAATGTTGGAAGCTATTTCCATTCATCCGGTACTTAAAGACTTAATGATGAAGAAGACAAAATGAAAGGTTTTGTTTAAGGAAAATGATTAAAGAGTGTTGAGATGAATGCATCCAAGAGCCTAATCAAAAGAAACTCCTACCTAAGGATGCTTATATGCCATCTAAGTTCTTAGTAAATATTGACAAGACTTTAGGTGGTAGTTCAGACACAAGAAGTTAAAAGCCAGATCTCTATTTCAGTAGAACCGAAGTTTCAAAAGTCTGAACCAGGGCAACCAGAGATTAAAATAGTGTTATTCCCAGTATGATCAAGTAACAATGAATTAAACAATAAGAACAATAATCTAGAGATCAATCACCATGTATATTGATAAACTCTCAAAATACATGTTTTTCTCTCTACAATCTCTCTCTAAGCTAGATTCTCGATCAATATACCCATCTATCTAACAAATACCCTTACAAAGCTATTTATATGATTGACTAAATATACAAGTCAAACTACAATTAAGCACAATGTTAAATTTTTTTGTTGACTTTAAGCTTTGACCTATTCAGTCTTTAAACTCGGTGATCTCGAATACAATAATATTTGACCTAGCAATCTTCTCCTTTGTATTTGAGATCACAGCCTTCAAAAACAAACTCATTTGTCTTCACTTCAATATATTTTTGATTTAAACAATCTCCCCTTTTTAACAAATATATTCTTCAGATCAAAATCTTCCCTTTGAAACAATCTTCAAAATCTTCAGATGCTTTCCTTTAATAATCTTCAACAATCAACAAATCTTCAAGTAAATATTTTCAATCAACAGATAAGCTTTGATCATTTAGGCTTGAAGCTTTGACACTACATGTACTAAGTTGATCACCTTAATAGCATAAACGAATCCAACTTTATCAACAAACTTCTTCAAACAATTTTATCTTGTAAACACAATGAATCTTTAACAAATAAGCCAGCAATAAGTCTCAACAAAGTCAAAGACCTTCCAGCCTAGTGGTAAAGGCTTGGGCATGGCATAGTCATGAACTCGAGTTCGAGTCCTGGGAGGGGAGTGTTGGCGACATTTAAGTGGGGCCATGTTTAGCCTCCAAATTTGCCGGGGATTAGTCGGGCTTTGGCCCGGACACCCTTACAAAAAAAAAAATAAATAAATAAAAAATAAAAATAAGTCTC